TTAGATCTAAATTATCAGTTGCTTTCTGCAAGTGAAGGTTGTGAGCTAGAAGTAAATATATGTTAATGTTGTAACTGGTAATGGTGGAACGTGCTGGTACAAAAGCACGTTTCCTGAAGTTTTTAGCAACTTGTTTATGTAAAATACTCTCCATCCAGGAGCATGGATTTTAGAAGTGAAAAGAAATGAAGAGTCAGCTAATCTTCTTGTCTTAATTGTTTTTAACAAAACCGTCATAGATGTCATAACTTTGGATGCTACTCATTATAATACTTAGAAGCTGAAAGGTGAACTTTGAAAAGATTTATTTTCAGAAAGGAGGCCAGGAGCTTTCTCTTTCTCTCTTTCTTTCTCTCTTTTTAAATTTTTTTTTCCCTTTTTTCTTGTTCTTGAATCCTTTCTGGTAGTCAGAATTACCAGTTTTGGAAACTTGCATCCAACCCTTTGAAATCTTCAACAGTCAAGAGAATTAACACACGAAACCCACAGATAATGGGTCTGGAAAAGCTGTAATTTTTTCAAATCCGGTCTGTCAAGGCAATTTAAGGGTAGAAGAAAATGCTGTAAATGGGATGAAGATTCAGAAATAACAGAAATGCTATGCACGGATGAACTGGTTATCATGCTGAGCTGTGTGTCAAAGTGTTGCCAAGTGTCAAATTGTCATATATAACCTTATACAGAGAAGTGTGAGTTAGATGATAAATTTTAGAATCGTCTTATGACAGTTTCTATAAAAGTCATACACGCTCCAGGGAATCTCCAGGCATTGTAAACTTCAGGAGTGCAGCCATAATCTTTGCTGCTAAATAGAAGAGGCAGAATATTAACTACTTGTGTTTGGGTCTTATGATTTAAAAAACAAACAAACAAACAAACCCTGTGCAGTGTAATCTGAAACACAGATTTTTACTTCTCTGTATCTTTTAATTTAGCGTAATAGTGTAAAATTTAGCATAATACAGTATAAATTAAGCTGAAGAAAAGAAACCAGAGAGCTCTTGTTGGTGGAAAGTATCAAAGGAGTAAAATCCAAGAAACAGTTAATCTGAGCACAGAGAGGAATTGAGGTGAAACTAATTTGTCTTCAGGGGATGAAGAGAATAGTTAATTCACTTCCAAGTAGCGTTATATAATGAACTTGAGTTCCAGAGGCAGAGTTTGCAAGTTAGGCTTCTAGTTTATAAATCGTTTCTGTCCAAATGGCTCTTTCTTAGGTTTGAAAATTCTAGTAATAATGCGTACTTGACTCCTCCGGGAACTCAAAATGATTTCTAGTCAGAGACTAGAAGCGCAGAAGTAGCAATCGTAGGCTGAAAGGAGTACCAAGACGCAGGGTGTTCTCGGCCACTGATGTTTTTTTAGGTAGAGAAGATGCTCTGTTTAAATTCAAGGTGTGCTACAAATGGTGGTCTGCGGAGGTGGTAGATGAAGCCTTTCCTTGCATAGCACAGAGAAGGAAAGGTAGAACCAGGTGTAGTCTCTGGCCAGGTTTCTGTAGCTGCCTTTTGATTTTGCAGAAAAAGCCACCACGTGAGAATGATCACAAGCAGATAAGTAGCAGCTCCTCTGGAAGTCTTTCTCCAAATGCTACTGTTCAGAGTCCTAAACATGAATGGAAAATCATTGCTTCAGAGAAAACATCAAGTGAGTATCTTAGCTTTTTTTTTTTTTTTTTTTTTTTTTTGGTGTGTGTAACTCAAAGATGTCTGGTATTACGTATCTACCACCCCATATCCACTACGGATCCCCCTTAACATCCATAAGAAATATGGAAGTATTTTTTCTTACTGATGAGGTGATAGATACAAATTAAATAACTTGCCCAGTAATTCATAAGATGTTTCTAATATAACTGGGGCCAAACTTGAATCGTCTGCATCTTGATTCTTTAGCCATAAGGCTGTCCCAGAGCCCGTGTGTGTATAATTTGAACCAAAAAGTCTAAACTGTAGACAAGTGTTCTTTGATTAATCAAAGATTTATTTGCAGTGCGTGGGAGGAGGCTTTCTCCTAGCACATCTTTAGATTGCCATCTCATATACTTCTAGGATGATATTAATCATCTTAAAAACAGCATTTTTTCTATAACTCTGCTAACACTTGGAACCTATAACCCTAAACAGCAGCATAACATGTTTCATGAAGTAGGGAAGAAGCATAATCGGAAGCCCCTTGGTGGTATTCATTCAAAATGTGGTTATATTAGCTTTTTTTCCTCCTGATTACAGGTAACACCTACCTGTGTCTTGCTGTTTTGGATGGTGTGTTGTGTGTGATATTCCTGCACGGACGTAACAGCCCTCAGAGCTCTCCCACTAGCACGCCGCGACTGCTCAAGAGTCTGAGTTTTGAGCTTCAGCCAAGTGATGTAGTAGAAAAGCCCATGTCTCCTATGCAGTATGCTCGATCTGGATTGGGCACAGCTGAACTTAATGGCAAGCTAATAGCTGCAGGTAAAAAAAAAAAAAAAAAAAAAAAAAAAGTTCTTTAAAACAGCTCACTCAGTTACAGAAGACACTGTGTATTTCTTTCCAACTATGTAGACTATTTCACAGAGTCAGTTTTCTTAAACTTCCAAGCAACTGGTCTTCAGAAACTCACTATGACCTGACCTTTTGCTTTTGCCTATAGGTGGATATAATAGAGAGGAGTGTTTGCGCACCGTGGAGTGCTATGATCCACAAAAGGACTCTTGGACTTTCATCGCACCTATGAGAACACCAAGAGCTCGATTCCAGATGGCAGTTTTGATGGTATGTAGTGGGTGGAGATTAGATGGTAATGTTGAATTATGTAAATAGCTTAAGTATGTGGGACAAATGTGGTAAACTTCATGGTAACTGAAGTTGCTTTATTGTAGCTAACAAAACTAATAAAGCGATAATGAGTTGAACTGTTTTGTTTTCTCTTTTAATATGTGAAACATGCTATTTTTTCCATTAGGGGCAGCTGTATGTTGTGGGTGGGTCAAATGGTCACTCAGATGACTTGAGCTGCGGAGAAATGTATGAGCCAGAAATAGATGACTGGACTCCTGTTCCAGAATTGAGAACCAATCGTTGCAATGCAGGTAATAGATCTGCAGTTGATGGTCTGTCTGTCTGTCCATGCCTGGCCCCTACTAATTTATGAGCTTACTTATTTTTCTTATTTATGTGAACAGGAGTTTGTGCCCTGAATGGAAAACTGTACATTGTTGGTGGTTCAGATCCTTATGGTCAGAAGGGACTTAAGAACTGCGATGTATTCGATCCTGTAACAAAATCTTGGACAAGCTGTGCTCCCCTTAATATCCGTAAGTTTGTTGTATAGTTCGAGGAGGGGAGGGAAGAGGGACTGTTGTAGAACTCCAGATCTTTTCTTTTGTGCTGTGGTAAACTGGTAGTATGTGACGACTCCCGTGACTGGCTGTAACTCATGGCTTTTGATTTGTAGGGAGACATCAGTCTGCAGTATGTGAGCTAGGTGGGTATTTATACATAATTGGAGGAGCAGAGTCGTGGAACTGCCTGAACAGCGTAGAGCGCTATAATCCGGAGAACAACACCTGGACGCTGATTGCTCCCATGAACGTGGCTAGACGAGGAGCTGGAGTGGCTGTTCATGACGGTAGGCTCTATAGTCTTAACCAACTTCTTGTGCTTGATGAATCTTGTCACGTTAAGCTACAGCACGAGTGGAATGTGAAGCTGCCTTCCTTGCTAGGGAAGAAAGGATACAGGGAGAAACTGACTGTTCCTTCAATGAAATTAAAAACTCCAACCAGAGAATCGAAAAACTTGGTTTTGGGGGCATTCCTTTTCAAAAACATCACCATGCAGCTTCTGTTTGAATCTGGACTTGGCTGAAATTATTCCTCAGTAGGTGCAACTAGCTCTAACGAGCAAGAGAGCCAAAGCTAGTTACAACTGCAACTTCAGAACCTGAATAAGGCAAAGACTTCCTCATAGGAATTCCTAAATTCGCTTGCTTTGGCTTAGTTTGCCTGCCTGGAACGTACTCTGTATTTGGTGACACGCTTGGTGCCTAGCAGTTAAGCATCCGTTTTATTTCCTTTTGATAGGAAAACTCTTTGTTGGTGGAGGCTTTGATGGCTCTCATGCAGTGAGCTGCGTGGAGATGTACGACCCTGCTAAAAACGAATGGAAGATGATGGCAAGTATGACTACTCCAAGAAGCAATGCTGGCATTACAGCTGTGGCAAACACCATTTACGCAGTTGGGGGCTTTGACGGCAATGAATTCTTGAACACAGTGGAAGTCTACAACCTGGAATCAAATGAATGGAGCCCCTACACAAAAACTTACAAATTTTAAGTGATTTAAATTTCCTTTTCAAACTAACAGGCTTAGTGATGTAATTGTGTTTTAGTAGAGGTACACTTGTGAATAGGGTTGGGGAGGGCATAGATGTTGCCAACAGCAACACAGAGCTTTTGCATATTGCATATTAATGTGCTGTACATATTTGTTTTGGAAGAAAGAATATCAAGATGAAGGGTTTTTTTTGTGTATTTTAGAACTTTGTCTTAGTGGGTTTTTTTTTTTTTCAAGATTTTGAAGATATTGCAAGAGAAACTAGACTGGGCATATCATTTCAGGAGCTTCCCCCAGTGTTTGTTTTGCCACTTTGCACAGTAAATGACTTTTTTTTTTTTTTTTTTAATGTAGAATGTGTTTAGGGGGCAGGAAGTATAAGGTTTTTGGGGGGGAGTAGTTAGTTCTTTCATCAGACCTTGTTTTTCCTCATAACTGGAACAATCTGTAACAAGAAGCCTTATTTAAATAGATATAATGGCTATTTTTTTTATTAAAAAAGCTGACATGCCTGCCAATACCTAATCTTTTATGATTGCCTTTTTATAACAGTTTTTATATACTCAGCAGAGTATTTTATCTGTTGAAATGAAAATGGCAGATAAATGGCTATTGAAGCAAAGAGACAATCTTGGAGTTCATAGAGACCGAGTGGGACACTGAATTTACCACTGTATGTGAGCTTCTAAGCTTTTGCCTCTGCTACAATATTGTAACTTAGTATGCAACACTTTCATTAGATTTGAATGGAGTTTCTGAACATAACATAGCTGTGACCTTTTAGTAATGAGAAATTTTTTTGGCTCAAATAGTTTGACAAAAACGCAGAGGGTGTTTTATGTACAGCAGTTTTATTCCAGTTGAGCTAACACTTGTAAAACAAGAACTGAAGTGTGTTTTTTTTTTTTTTCCCTCATGGTTTTTCAACTACTTCCTGTTAGCAAAGGAAATGTATTCCTCTGATAAGTAATGGCGTTGTTTTATTTTTCTAATATCACAAGCTGAAACTGTGCTAGAATACAAATTACTTGATTTCATATGTGCTCATAGTACTATGTTGTAGTTCACTTTCTCTATTCATCTGGATACAATGTTGGTTAGGATGACTTGGTGTCTAATGTATAGTGCTGCACATCTAACTCCCAGTGCCAAAATTAGCACTTAATGCTTGCTGCTGATGCAAACACATTAAAGGTACCTTTTGGGAAATCCTTGCACCACCAGATTGCTGTAACGTGTGTTTGTGTCCTTTCTTTAATGAGACTGCTTGTAAACGGAAGTTCGCAACCCTAGAATCACAGTTTCAAACACAGACATACTTGGACAAACTGTGGAATAAATTCAAAACTACACTGACATCAAGAATTAACTATTTATTATAACAATAAGTTAGATTTTTTTACAATCAAGTTCTTACAAATACATTCAAAAGGAATATTAAAATAAACATGTCTAGAACTGGACCAGTTATATCTCATCTCTGTACAAATACATACATTGAAGAGGTAGCTTTGAAGGCCACAGCAGCATTGACAATGGCTTTTAGGAAGCTTAATATCGTCTTAAATCAGTTCTGGAAAGCAACAACTGAGGCATTCAAACAGGGATGTCACAAAGAGCTGTGACAAGCAAGTCATTGATTATAACCTGCAGAGGACAAAAAACAACAGGAAAACTCACTTGCCTTTACAAGGCAAGATAACAGAAGGATGAGGAATTTTCCAAATTCCTACTCTATGAGAGCTACTACGAATAAGTAGTTATTTTAATCAAGGACAAAAACATCACTTTCCTCCAAACTTAGTAAAATTATTATTATATATAATTGACATACTTAATTACAAGTGTTAATGCTAATTTCACTGTTGTCACTGGCTTAGAGATTTCTCACCAGAAGAGGTCAAATTACATGTAGAGTATCTAATGTTGACAAAAGCTCAAAAAGGAGGTCCAGGATAAATATTTACATAAATTTAAAAAAAAATCAATTTCTTTCTCTATGCTACATCCTCTCTTAAACCTTATCTATTTGCAGAATATAAGAGAGGCGCTCTGCACCTTTAAATCCTTCATTTCTACAGGGGGGTAGTAAAACACAGTAAGCATCATCGGTATCTGACTTGAACATTCAACTACTTCCATTTTTCGTCCTTTTAGAGCCCCAGGTATCACAATACATTTTTCTTCCTCACCTTTCCCCTCCTCCCCTTCATCTGTTTTATCTTCAACAAATACCTTACACACTTTTTTTTTTTAATACAAATGTTAGCAACAGATCTAACCTCTCAAAATCAGGTAACACTAGCTCTTTTGAACTAGTCTTTTAAAACTAGTCTGTCTTCTTGACAGGCACTATGCTTTTGCTGTATCCAGCCCGAGAGACACTCTTAGGACAGCAAATTCTACTAGCTTGCAGTTCTTAGCAGAAACTCTTGAGTTTCAATGCTTCACATGTGTAACCAGTTGTTTTTTTTCCTTTAACTCAACAAACATAAAACAGCACCATCAAGAAAAAAAGGCAGAGTTTTGGTTCCTCTGATACTTTTTTCTTTCCCCACTAGAGAAGTTGTTATACTTGGTTTGGACAAGGAAAGCGAAGGGGGTGAACACTGCAGCTCCAAACCTTGACTGAAGGATCACAGCCAGCCCCTGTTTTTTGCTTCCATGTGAACAGACACGCTGCACTGCTTAATCGTATGTTCCAGCTGAGCCAATTGGCAACACCCAACAGCTAGCCTTTCTCTAGAAAGGGAGAGAGAGAGAGAGATTTTTACTAAGATTGTCAGGAAGCAAGGGACTACCTTCCTTGGACAGCACAAATTTCAGTATGTTGTTTTTTTAAAAAAAAAGTTTCAAAGAGATTCTAAGACCATGCTTTAAAGCTGTCAAAAGCAGAAAATACTCATCCTCTCTGAAAATCCAGAAGCATTTTCTCTTTCTAGCAAAAGATTAGGTTCATTAGAGCTAGCTACTCAGTATTTGTTCCCAGCTGTATGCTGCAATAAAATCTTTATTAAAAGGTACAAACAGTCTAAAAGCCACAGAGCAAACGCAATTTCAGTCTTCTAAATGCAACATTAGACCTTCAACTAATCTAAAATGCTGTCTTGTTTTTCACTGAAGCTTTTGAATGAGAATGCCTTTAAGAGGCAACTCAACCCCTTTTCTATGCATTTACACATCCCACAAATTGAAACAAGTTTCCTTCACAGTTTGAGTGTCTTAATTTTAGGCACGTAGAGAATCCAATTCCAATCTTATATGGGTACAGTTAGTCCTGTCACTTTTGTACTTGCCTAATTCATATCCAAAACTTTTGAGTATTAGTAATTGTAGAGGAAGAGACAACTTTTTAATATAAGTAAGTTTCTGCTTGTACAAAGTAAATGCCATGGAAATTAACTAGTCGAAAGGGGCTTACTACGTTCCTATCTCCATTAGGAGACACAAGCCCTGAGGAAAAAAAATAGTGTCTGGAGTCGAGAACTCAGCATGCGTTTACCAGGTATTTACAGTAACCACAGCAATTTCTGTTTTGGACTGGAAAGAGCGCTGGATTTTTAAATAGCGGTCATGCTAATTCAACACATGAAAACCTTTCCAATTTCTACGTTCTCTGAAAGCAGTGAAACAAAACTTCAGTCTTTCAGAGCGCTTAAATAAACACGATAAACCTGCAGGAAGTGGTTTCCGTATGTCTACTTTCATAAAGGTCACCTGTAGACTCAACCCTGAACGCAACCTGTTGCATTTGTATTTGTTCACACTGTTCGACCAGTCTTTTCTATGCAGTTTGCCGTTTTTCTGGCTATAAAGTTGCCAAAATACTTGTGTTTGCTTTTCAGTCTAAACTTAAAATTTAGAGGGTAAAATTGACTGAATGGTAAACAGGAACGACAACAAAAAACAACAGCAACAGAAAACTCTCCTTTGTACTTAGACTTTGAACACCGCTAGTGGTTAAAACTGACAAATACCGATTAAAGCCTAATCCTTAAGCTACAGTATTTTCAAAATATATTTGCTTCAGTCCTTGGGGAAGAAAAGCCCACCACAGGTAAACCAGCTATATTTTAAAGAGTTAAAAATAAAAAAAACCCACTCAGGTACACACAAGAATTGTTATTTTAAACAATCACCGCAGACGTCACAGCGGTACATTTGACGTTCTTGCTATACAAGAGACACAAAAAATCCTATTCACCCCATTGGGGAAGAAGAGCCCATAACAACACGCCCTTTGTATCCACGCCGATCTGTTCACCTCCTTGCAGCAGCCCCTCTGTGCAGCAGTTACCGATGGAAGAGAGTCTGCTCCCACCTCTTACCTGCTGGGTAATTTTTGCAAGCTGTTACGTGGTATTTGCGACCGAATAATCTCTGATGAAGAGCAGTTACTATGAATTATTTGTTACTTTCTAACAGGGATAGCGGCTGCAAAGCTTGAAATCGGTTGTCCAAATTCAGAGAGAATACAACTTAATACAATTTCTAACTAAAATTGACCAGGCAGAAAACAAATTAGGCAGTTGTGATCTTTTGCTCTAAAGCTGCTAAAAATAAGGATGTTACGCTAACATCCCTAAAATAACTAACGTGCAACTCAGCCAAAAAGGCAGATCTCGTTACTTTTTGCTGTCCACTCTATTAAAAGAAATTTTAAAAAAAAGAAAAAAAGCGTTGAAAGGGCACTTAAATCAGTTTTATTGACAGAACAGGGAGTTCACATTATATGTACATAAAGACAGTTTGAATTGTACCTTTCATTGTATTTGCACACAGCATCAATCTCTTGATCACCCTGATTTATTCTTTATGTTTCTGTTATACAAGATGATCTAAACCTGATTATATAGAAAACATTCTGTAATTTCTCTTTTTCAAAAGATAAATTGTTGGGAGGACCCTTAAAAGAGAAAAAAAAGCAAGGTTAAAAAATTAATAGAGTGCAGCCTGAGGGCGACCAGACCAGCCTCCTAAATAGTAATTTTCAAAAGGCTAAGCACAAGTTATACACATTATTTTCTTTATGGCAGCATCCATGCAGATCTATTCCCATCAACTACTTCTTAGATCCTCTTTCACTTGATCTGCCTCTAAAAAAAAATGTTTTGTTTTGTTTTGTTTTTAAAATCAAATACTATTCAAACTAAGGGATGCTTTAAAAAGGACGTGCACCATAAACTCAATAGTAATTTTTGTTCTAACAGGTAACAAGACTGGCAGATCAGCCCACAGAGCAGGAGATGAACAGTGAGGAACAATTAGTGCAGCTATGTTGATGAGAAAGCACCCATCCTCCTGATGACTGAACTCCATTCACCAGCTACAAACCAAGCCTCAACCCAAGTTCAGCGCTGGAGAGTTAGGAACTGCTTGGTAGCCAGTAGCACAGTGAACTTACTAGGGCTATCGGTCAAGTCTGTTTAGAGAGAAATAATTTATCCTCATAATTCCTAAGCGACACAAGTTATAAACCCTCCAGAGCAGTTAAGCGCCTTCTTCGTTAACAGTTCTTGAAAACTAGCACAGTAAAATATCTCAGCTGAGATAACGTTTCATTCCCCTTCTAGCTCGATTAAAATTCTCCCCCCCGTTACTTTCGTGGCCACTGAGTAACAGCTAGGATGGTAGAGGGTATGATTCTACACACACATGGACCTTTTATACTGAAGTACAGTGCAATGGGTCAACTCTCAGGGTTACTATAGTTCCACTAGAACTAATTTTAAACAGGTCAAGGGAAATTGTTTCTGCACCCTCAGAAACATAGCGGTGGATACCGGATTGCAAATAAATTCTACCGAAATGCGTGAACGCAGATGTCAGACACCCAGCTCGTCAGTCTGTTAGGCCTGCGCACAAACATCTAGGCTGCTGCTGAGGCCCTGGCCGGAGGTTAAGCCGTCTGCTGAGCAGGTCACGGGGGACTACTGGACACTCCAGGAGAAACCGCTTGATGTGACAGCCAACAACGTGAGAAGCGACAGACTTGCTATAGGCAGCACCGCGAGGGTCAGCCGGGCTGCACAGCTGGCTAGGGGGTAGGCGAGACATGGCCAGACTGCACAGCTGGCTGAGGTGTCCCTTGCTAGCAGGGAAACACCAGGTCGAAGGGATCGAGCTCCTGGTATCGCCGTGTCAGTGCCTGTTCCCAGGCCCCAGATATCGGCACCTTCCCCGCCACTGCCTGACGCAGTCACCTCCTCCTCCTTTGGCAGTTTACTGCAAGGTAGAGGCGCCAGGTCAAAGAGCAAAAAGGGCAGCGTGAAAATAACGCGCAGCTTTCAGGCACGCTACTCAGATGCTCAGGGCGCCAAACAGTAAGTTCTCTTAGTTTAGGCAAGATCAGAGACTTGCAAAATGAAGCCTGAATAATTCTTCCCATCACTTAGCCTTTATATCAAACCGTCTTTAAAGGGTATAAACTGTTACAGGTTCCTCACCAGTGAAAATTCAAAAGCCTTAGAAACGACTGGCCGCAAAACTTACTGTCAGGCTTCACACTAGCCCCTTGCCAGGACAGCTAGGCTTGTCCTCTCTGAAGCTCTTGCTTGCAATCCAGCAACGCTATTGCCCCCATGGCATACGTGAACAGGAAGGCAGGGAGGAAAAAGACAGAGGAGGAAGGGCTTTAAGCAAGTTTCTCTTAACCTACCAAGTTCTTCTGGGGAAGAACCTTAACATCATGATATTTCCCCACTATTCAGAAGGGGAGAACAAAAACTCACTCTAAGAAAGGCTCACCAGGCCAGGATTTCCGTAAGCCAGCCTTCCCAGGTCTGAAGTACTTGTATAGAGGAAGAAACTAGCAGTCAGGCCTGCTCTTTGCCACCTTTTTCTCATCCAGTGTTCTCCCCTCGATCCCTAACTTTACTTGAAAATGGTAAGAACTGTAACAGATCTGACTCAGTGGAATGGATATTTCTTGTCTTGTGACACGGCTTTGCTTTCGCCACATCTCAGTCTCTACCGCTGTAAGGAGAGGGAAAGGAAAAAAAAAAAGAAAAAAAAAAAAAAAAAAAGGCAGGCAGGCAGAGAAAAGGACAGCTCTTATATTAACAAGAAAAAAAAAAAGAAAGGAAAGAGAGAATAAGAGAATGAGAGGAACACAGAGGCAGTTCAGCTTCAGGGAAGGCATACAGGGCTGTACGCTAGATTTTATACAGAGAATGACGGAGATTTCCACAGATGTCTAAAAATTGCTGTCTGAGAACTACAGAAGTGCTGGTGACAACTAAAGCCAGCCCAGCCGGCAAAACTGTTTTTTTCTGCTGAAATATAGATCGAGTTTCTCCCTGCCTGCAAAAACTTTCTCTCACCTCCCAACAGTTAGGACTTTTAAATTTACAGAAGATTTAAGAAATCACTGTCAACCTGGGCTAGCAAAGATTTTTTGGAATAATTTTCCAGCTCAGATTAAAATCATCTGTAAGCCTTTTATACATCTGATGGAACCATTCTTCTTATCCTGGTAAGTTACATCTAGTTTATATCTCTATGACAGGAATATCAAATAAAATATTTACCTGCCCTTTGTATCCATTTAAGATTTATTCCAAAAAAACATGGGATTTTAAAAATCCCATAAAACCTGGATTTACAAACCCGCCACTACAGAAATTAAGGAAACCTGTTCATGAGCCATCAACTTTATAGCAAAAAACTACAGCAAGGCTCGCATGCCACTCACTTCTAGATTAACATTTTTCAAAGCTTTTAACTCAGCTGCGCAACAGAATGTTTCTTTTCATGTGATTTAACTGTAAAAAAGCCTCCTAAATCAAAACAGTAATTGGAAACTGAAGTTTTAGTTGTTTCTCCTCTTTTTCTAACTGTACTTACTAATGGCTTAGTAACATACAATGACTTATGACTTTGATAATGATGTCTACAACTTAGCAGAACAGTGCTACTTTCATGGATATAAAGTTCAGTCACACATTCAGGCCTCCAGAATCGCAAGGCTTTTTCCTCCACTGAACTAAGCATAGTTCTGATAGAAAGAGATGGATTTTGTTGTGTTGTCATTTTGTTTTGTCTTGTTCATCAAGATAAAACTGCAATTATAACCAAATTTATTTAAATGCAGTTCCATATTCAAACCTAATCTGTAATGGATGCTGACCTGCTGACTGGCTCTGTCTACCACTAAGACATGAATCCAACACTCCTACAGGAAAGAGGGACCAACGTTCCGCCTCACAGCCAAACAGCTGAAAAGCCTTGTGTGGGTCCTAATGGCTCAACTCTAATTTACTTTCCGTCCTTTCCTATTCTGTCGTGATAGTAGGTCATTATGAATAAATAAATAAAAGAAACTGTACTGAAGAAAATACTCCCGTTTTCCCTACCTCATCTTCTCCAAAATCAACCCGGAAAGTAAAGGTTGAGTTGGAAACAAGCATTTTATTTCTTCAGAGTTGTTGAAAAAGTGACTATCATATGGAAACAATGGCCATGTATTTTTCAGTTGATACAGTACATGCTATAATCTCTCTGGAATCCCATCTGATATGGTCAGTAATTAACTTACCTATATATTTCTTGTGACACACATTCATAGAGCTCCTCAGCAGTAAATTGTATACTGTTATTTATCTGAAATAAAGAACAAAGAATTAATATACTAATTTACCAAGTACAATATACCAATTAAAATTATACGGCTGGTATAACAGTTAATGTGTTATCTAGCAGAATCTCAGGTTTAGATAACGGAAAAAGAAAGTCATGCTATGTGGTATAAAAATCAAATCATACAAATTCAGCATCATTACTGTAAATAACTGGAAGCACAGATATCATTCCAACTTCATTTTTAAATACCTTCTGGACAAATATGTAAGACCTTCAATAATTCTTCCTTCCCCTCTGAATTTTATAACTCTATAGCAAACAAAATAACATCCAACTCGCTGAAATCTATAAAGACAGCAGCCCTACAGTACAGGCCCCAAAACAATAAATACATGCTGTAAAGGAAAGGCCTGAAAATGTGAAATATGCAATATGCTAAATGGAAAAATAACTTGATTCTACTGCAAACATTCATTTCCATCTTAACAACCTTTCAACGCAACCAAATTGAAACTTCATGAATAACTGGTGATTCAATTAATCTTTTTTCCCTCTCTCTGAACTACAGTCAACGTTCTCAGCAGAACTACCTAGTGCAACGTACTCTTTTGAAAAAATGACTAAGTTAGTGATATTTTGGTGACTCCAGCTTCAAGGACTTTAACTCCCGGCAACAAGTTGTTCATAACAAATAAGCACTCAGAAAGACAAACAAGCAACTCAAACGTTGTTAGAAATTCTAATGGTAGGTACAAACCAAGAAGTGTTCTTTCATTACATCTGATGTCTAATAAATAAGATCAAACCCTAAAAATTCTAGCTGAATGGAAATATGACCGGACAGCTAACTTCATAACTCCTTTAGATAAAAAACCTTAATAGAAGCATACCTGATAAAACATTAAAGAAAAATTCATACCTCATTGCTTATGAGGAAGTTATAGAGGGTCCAAATATCTTGGAAAGTACTGCTTGGGGTCAGAATTCTGAAAAAGAAACAATACGTTTTTGTTTTTTTAAGTGAGTGTTCAAGGATTCTATGAAAGAGTTAAAAAAAAAAAAAAAGTAGTCAGAAGTACATCATGAAAAAAATCTAATCACTTTCTTTAAATGAAAAGGAAATTCTGATCTTTGAAGAATTTTCCCTCCATCCATCCCTTTCCACTCCTCTAAAAGAATTAAATGAGCTTATTCTGCCTGCGAGGACATTCTATGAAAGTTTTTCCTAATTAAAAATTCAACTCATGTTTTTATGAGCCATTTCTCTATTTAGGCAGGGAGAAAACCACCAATAACTGAAAGCTTTTTGTTTCACATAAGCAAAGCCTTTTGTCTTAACGTGGAGCAACAGAAAACCGACACACAATACAAAACTTTCCCACACTAGTTAAAGCTGTACCTCAGTCCCTCCAGTATTTTACCACACAGCTTGAATTTCACTTTTTTATATAACATTTTTGCTACTTCTAATAACACGCAGCCAGTTACACACCCTATACTGAGAAGGGAAACGACCATTTAACAGCTGAATAGAGGTGTCTGTGTGAAGAACCAACTATCACGTGAAGTACTGATATTTCATTCAGTCATAGACTGTACTCAGGAGCCAGCAGCAGTTCCCAAAACCTAGTCTTTGCTCGACACATGGCAAACAGAGATGCCACCTGCAAAAGAGAGCGTTAGCTTTGGTCTCTCCATTTGGTCTCTGCGAGGTCCCGAGATGCAAGCTCTCTTCCACAAAGCCTCCAAAAACGATCCAGTACGGAAACAATTCTCTCCAAAAAATTATTCTCCTAATCCAGTCAAGCAGATATAATTCACCTATACCTCAGAGTAACTTCATTTGCATTCACCAGGGGAAAAAAGTGAGCACTCTTGCGTTATATTAAACGCCGAATAACACTTTAAATGGATTAAGAAAATCTGATAAAATTCTGCCTATGTTAAGTTCTAAGAACCTAAACAGATTTAAGAAAATGACCGACTTAACCAAAAAAAAAAAAAAACCCACCACACACACAAAAACTGCTATTTACTTTCCCATGGGCAAGTACCCAAATGCTCTTCTCCCCTCCCCCACTTTGCAATTGTAAACCTTTATAAACGAAGTAATCAGGAACTGAAAAAAATAGAAAAATAGAATCAGTCCTAGTTAAAAAAAAGTCAACGTATTTTAAACAGGCTGGAAGACAGTGATAAAGCTTATTAATTTATCATAACTAGCAAGTCAGATGCTTTACTTTACTTTCAGTTTTACTTGATTTTACATAGGAATTATCGTGGTTAACACAAATTAATCACACACTTTTTCTCCCTTCCTAAGGAGATGCACCCTGTTTTTACTTTCCCCCCCCCCAAAGCAAAAACAAAAACCTCAATCTGCCAAGTAAAAGTCTTCAAGAGAATCGACTGACTAAATTCTCCTAAAAATACCTCAAAGTCTTCAGCTGCTACCTCAGTGAGAAAGCTATCACTCTGAGAGCACAAAAACCCAGCGCAGGCAATTTGGCAGACGTCCTTGTAAACGCTGAAAGTCCTGGCAACGTGAACTGCATCGCGCTGCGACTCCCGCTGCCTGGCTACACGTAGCCACCAGCCAGCAACCCTGTCCGCATGGGACAACGCATCAGCTTTAGCTATCCCCATCAGGCATCTGCAACATCAATAAACTGCTATACCAAAGCCTGGGAACGTGGGATTTCTGTTGCTGATGGGTTTTGTACTATTCTGCCTTCTATTTTATGCCAAAAGGAGCAAAACTTGTATATTTAGTAATTGCTTTCATAAAACAGAACACACAATTGTAGAAAAATGGTATGAAAGGTAAAACATTACTGGTACCTTGACCTGAATGCCATTATATGCTGCCACACAATGCGGTAAGGCAAAACATGTTCATCAATACGCTTTTCCTGCTGTGATAGAAAGACAGAGCCGGAAGGGCGTTGGATATGTTTGCTGCCATAGTTAAACGGCCAGCAGCCAGGCAAGTTTTTTGGTAGGAAGGATGGAAAATGGGGCAAAAGAGCAGTAGGTGGGAGGAAGAAAAACCGTAATAATTACGGGCTTCTGGATTTTACGGGGGACAAAAAACATATATAAGCTACTAAAAGGTGAAAGAAGAGACCGAGGACAGGTTGGAAGGCAGGACATAACTGTGCTCCCCTTCCCTTGGGCCACACTGCATCTCTGCATGACTGCTTCTGTTTGCCAGACTTCCAACTTCCCAATCCCCAGGCCAGAGAAGCGGCTACAAACTTAAAATTTGTCTTAACCTTCCTTAGCAAGACTACTTGTAAAGAAAACCAGTTTCAAAGTAATTTTAAAAACAACATTAGACCTTATTTCCAAGTTCATTTTTGGACCTCTAGTTTTGAGCAGAACTTCTTTTAATCACACTGTCAATTAATATGACAGCGGACAACACTCCACCCACATTTCCTTTTCCTTAAGCAACTTTATCACGTATGTTATATTTGATCCTTTCCCACTTTTGGGATAGCACTTTTGAATAGTTGCTAGGGAAAGTAAACAATGTGTGTATTAAAATTTCTGAATCTGGACGCGAATTAGGATGCTACAGGCTGAGAGCGATTCCACTGAAGTTTCAAGGTGACCCTCACTGCTCCTCCTCCTAATTTTTTGCAAGGACATCAAACTGGAAAGCGTACTTACTTTTGTACTGGTGACCAAAGTATATTAGCAAGCTGCTAACACTATCCACTCAGCTCACTATTAGGTTACTAGACCGCAGGCGAGTGTAGACACTGGTTGGGCTTCCAGTTCTTTGAAAATTTGAAGTAAAACGTATGAACAAGCATACAAGCATTTAACTTAACGTTAAATTCTGTGACTTATTTTATGGAGTGGATTGGATAGCCACAATGATGATTTCTGCATTTATAATAAGTGACGTCTAAGATTTGGCTCCATGCATTACAGTATCTTCAAATAAAAGGCATTTGTTTTTTTCAATGAACAAACATTTGTTACATGAAGTTCTCAAAAGAATCTGGTGAGAGAACATATGTATTAACTTCCCCCACACATTCCCCCCCTGAATGCTTAACAGGTCAGCATTCACTACAGAATGGTTATTATTGTTTTTAATTAAATATGAACTGGAATTTAAGTTCCGGTCTTGGAATACTTCTTTTTTTCCCCCCCTCCCTCCAGAAAAATCTAAAACACTCCTGTCAGCAGGGCAACCGTTTCACACTACTGGCTACTGCTTTTCATAATTTTATGTTCCTTTCATCTCCTGTCACCACCATTCTGCCCTAAGGAAAAGAGAAACTTTAAGTGGAGATTTACTGGTAGAAATCTGAAAATGTTTGCAAGCACATTTGTTCTTAAATCAAGTTGATCTCATTTTCACAGTTTCTCTATGGAAAAAAAAATGCCTCTGCTACAAAAGCAGTTCTAGAAAGCAACCTCTCAATCAGCAACACACGAAGCAAAGGGGCTCTTGGGTAAAAGGGTTCTAAACATCAATCTGGATCTCAGTGTTGTGCCCACTGCAATATTTATCTACTGCTTTTTTTTCCCCCTCTGCCAAAATTACATCAAAAGTATTTCAAAAGCGAAGGGCAGAAATCCACCAAATCACATTACCATTCCCACCAGCAGAGCGATGCAAAACAAACGATGAATGACCGACCCTACGTTTTTCACTTCTTGAGCAGGCGGTGGCAAAGGACGTTGGGTGACGTAAGGGTTGGATTGCCACTAAAATACAACTTGTTCTGGGATCAAGCTACAAACTATAGTACGGCTCTGTGCAATGTTCTAAAAACATTTTGTATACCAGGCTATTCTGCAGAGTAACATATTTTAGTAAGGACAAAAATAATCCAGTATGGACACCAGCAACAGAACAGAGGTTAATTACTGCTCTTGGGGAAAAGGGGAGAAAGGAAAGAATCAGGCTTTATCATACCTATTTATACCTATTTGGAGTACCATCACCTCTTCTTTGTGCATCTTCAGTGTTCATGATTCCTACGTAATCTCTCTGATACACTAAAACAAGTGCACACTACAGGTAGCTCCTTAAGGTTGGGAAAAATATAAACAAGCATGTATACCGTGTTGCAAACTAAACATGATGTGCTTTGTGATGCTGACCACACACTCGGGCAATGTCAAATTCAAACACTATGCAGTTTCACAGTTGCATATGACAACTAGGTAGAACAACCTAATAAAGGGTGGCACAGATACCTTTCCTCTCCTTGAACACAAGAGAAATAATAATATTTCCAGATTTCTTTAACTTCTGCTCCCTGTTTCACAGAGAGAGAGGACATCTCAAGCACGTTGCATTTTCTGTTTTAACAAGGCAATGATCAGGAAGAACTTACATTCTTGTTACAAGGCTAAAATGGTCACTGTACAGAAGTCACTAGTTTGAGCGCGTTGTAAAATTCATATCAGGACCAAGAAAACACAGAAATCTTTAAAGCTACTGAAATTTAGAGAGTCATGCTCCTTTAGTTATTTCCATTCTGTAGGCTGAGATTCTTCAGGTCCCACACAAGATCCAACCCCTTCCACCTCATAAGCCATAGGGCTTCCCCAACCGCTCAGAACACTTATTCAGCTACCAGCATCAGGCAAGTGACAGGGCAAAGACATACACAGAGTATGGTAAGATAATCAAGAATGCAAGTAGATAGGAAATAGCCTGTCACATGTTTCCTTGCTTGCGGATAGAGAAAAACTGGGAAACAAGCAAAGCCTGTTCAGAAAGGATCAGAAACTTAACAAATAGACAAGAGACAGTAAGCTGGCACTGAAAGCAGGTCAGCCTGCCAGCCGCTCACCAACACTAAAACACTGGGCAATGATGAGTAAAGCACATGGATACAAAGTCATATGAGAGCACGTGGCAATCCCTCTCAAATCTGGCCAAATCTCTGCAACTTAGTACTTACTACGTACTGAGCCATTCCTCTTTTATGCCTCAGGCTACTACAAAGGCAGC